TCCCTCCAACAGCTAGAAAACAGTCCCAGATAATGAGTTTATGAAAAACACTTTCTCTTCCTCCTCCAGGGACTCTTAAATCCTTCAGTTCTCGAGAAATGCTTAAGTTCTATAAATTTCACCTCTTTTTATCTCAAATCAGGAATAAACAAGTCTGAGTACAGAGCTGTAAGCACAGCAAATAAAACCGCAAAGGGAAAAACTATAGATCTTAAAACTCCAATGAGATCACAACCTCAAAGAAAAATAGGTCATCGTTTTCTGAGGACTGTGTATAATATGGGGAATGAGTATCAGAGGACTAAAAGTTTGGAACCACTGAAGTGATGTCTGATGCACAATCTGTCTCTGTAATCTACTTCACACAATTCCCATCACGACAAAGCAGTGAGCAGTGGAAGAGACCTTACCCTACTTACCTGTACAAGTGAGGTGCAATATATAGTTAATGGCCTAGTTTCATACTACTTCTTAAAGTAAAATAAACAAAAACACAACAGAAACTTACCTTCAAAAGGGGACCCCAACTGGTATTTTCCACCAAAAAATTTTGGCAATGAAAATACAAGTGCTCCCAGTCCTATCATAAAAGATGCAAATGCAAGCCATCTTGGTTTGTGTCCTCTTTCGCCAACATATGAAACAAATAAAGACAACAAACAGAATGCAATATCATAGCTTGATGATATCAGGCCGGTCAGGGAACTCTTCATTTCATAGCGCTTCTCAATAGTGGAGATACTAATATTTACTAGGCCATTTACCACAACACCTAAAAAAGAAAAAAAAAATATGGCATTATTACAACTTTACCATATAGATTATGATTATTAGCACAATGTACTAAAGTTTGGTTGTTTGTTATTTTTGATATTTTTAAATGTACCAATTTTAAAAGACTCAAGGTTTCAAAGGTAGGCAACCCTAAACATGCCTGCTTATAAAATCAGTTTGCTCTTAAATTGTACACTGGGAATTTCCAAGTGTTAAATAAAATTGATGCTTACCACATCCTAAATTGTAGCTAACTTCATTTTTCTTCAAATGACAATCAAAAAGTCAGACTGGTAAAGTCTCAAGAGGCCAGTTTGCCAGTTTCCACTTGTACCATACTTTCACCGCCCTAACTTAGAAGAGTACAAAAAGTACAGCTGATTCCGGAGGTCATCTGAGTAATGCTCAAACACTTCCCAAGTTATTCAGTCCTTAAACGTATTTATATATCACAAGAGATCCTTGACTTAAGTTTTTGAAAGTTGAAATTGAGCTCTCAAGCCTCTTTTTCCTTCTAATGCTCTTGAAGATATTAAAGTTAAAAGTCCTGGATCAAAGGTAAACATAAATTGCTCTAGCCAGTTTGGCTCAGTGGATAGAGCGTCAGCCTGCGGACTGAAGGGTTCCCAGGTTCATTCTGGGTCAAGGGCACATGCACGGGTTGTGGGTTCGATTCCCCAGTAGGGGGCGTGCAGGAGGTGGACGATCAATGATTCTCATCATTGATGTTTCTATATCTCCCTCTACCTTCCTCTCTGAATTCAATAAAAATATATTTTTAAAAGTGAACATAAATTAAGAGCATTATTTCAACCACTTGGATTCTAAATCATAGGTAAAGTAAAAGAAAAAAAAACACCTTACACTTCATCTGTTTATTATAACTATGATGGAGGCATATAATGTAAAGAAGTAAAAGCTGAAAATCCAATTTTGATTGATGACAAAAATATCCTGTCCAAATATCGATTAAATTTAGTTTATACATTACTATAAATTGGAAAGAAAAGGCATCTGACTAAATTACAAAGTGTTTAATTAGTTACCCCTTTTACTTAAGAGAATATCATGAATTGTTTTCATTTCTTTATTAATAGAAAAAGTATACAGAAGTCATAATATTTGTAATTTTAAATTTTTCCTTATCAAGAAAATTGATAACAAGTTTCTAAAAGTTCTAATATACTTGTATGCCAGTCTATAAATAAATTACAATTACTAAAATGTCAATGTAAAATAAAGTATCTAAAGTACCGAGGAATGACATATTTACTAGTATAAGGAGATAAGAATATGAAAATTTCCTCATCTAAATATCAGCTTCCCAACATATTTGCCATACTGATCAAAAGTCAGTCATTTGAACTCCTTGCCTTTATGGTAGAACTTTTCTGAAAAAGTTCATTTGTAAACTCTTATGGAAGTATGGCACTTTACGCCTATGAATCCGAATGTGAATTTTATGCTACAGAAGTTCCAAAAGCTCTGCTTTATTAAAAAAAATAAAAAAAAATTCTATGAAATACTGCATATTATGCTTGAAGTTAGGAAGTACGTTAGGAAATTAAGTTCTAAGAGAAATCCTGTTTATCTCTGAGAAATGTTGGGTTAAGTAAACTCACTTGATAAGTTGTGGGGTTCTCCTGCAATTAAACACGTATTCATATACAATGGTAATGGTCTTCCCAAGGATCATGTTTGAGAAACATGGTAATAAAGTGGGGACACCTCTGGGTAGATGTAGCTCCAGGATAAACACGTTTTAAGAATGACAATTATATTTTATAATAATTTTTAAAGTGTTATATTAAATGTAAAATTATGTCATCTGGAATAATATAGAAATTTTAGAATACATTTTAAGATAAAACACAAGAATTTTTTTTACTTATGTCCAACTGTTATAGAATAAGAAGCTAGGAAAATTCCAGAACAAGCATAATAGGGAAACTAAGATAGCTGCACAGCAGTTTACAGCCACATAGTAAATCCTATCTTCCCTAAACCAAGGATACTTAAGACTAAATGGTTTATAGCTTAAATCAACCTACTCAGGGAGACAGATAACAGAAATCCAATTAGTGCCTTTCGCCAACCACTAACAAGGACAGAGAAATTAAGAGAATAAATCTCATTTTGGTACATCAGCATTAAGCTGATGAATATTCTATTGATTCTCCCCTAAGACCTCCCCTAAATGCCCTGCCTTTAAAACCCCTGAAAAGAAAGGTCTTAGGGGTCTCGCCCAGGCCATTCCCTTCCCCCTATCCTTTCCCCACAGGCACTTATCTCCTAAAGACCTAAACTCTAAGGGACCCAAAAAGACTTGCAACTAGGGGAGCAATGGCAGCAGCAGCTCATCCTGGGCTAACCCCCAGAACTTGTCTCCAAGGCCCCCTTTTCTCTGACTTCCCAGTGAAACAGGAATGTTGAGGGGATGAAAAAGACAGGTTTTAGGAAATTTTAGAAACTAAGAGGACCATAGAAAAGCACAGGGCTGAAGAGTAGCAGAAGGTATATTTCCATAGAATAGGGGAGCTGAAAAGCTGCAACAGGTACATTTCCATAGAATGGGGGAGCTGGGAACAGCAAAAGGACTCTATTTACAAAATAAAGAGAAGAAAGCCCTTCATCCAGAAGGAGAAGAAGAAAGCCCAAAGGGTATAGGAAAACACTAAGAAAAGAGGGACCATATGAGGTTGGACCTTTGAGCCCAGGAGTTACTATAGTAACCAGTCTGGAATAGTGACCAATCAGAGGGGCTATCAAAGCACCAAGATCTGCAGCCTTTATAAGCTGTAAGGAAAAGGAACTCAGTGGGACCCTTTCCCCCCTCCCCACGTGGGGGTCCGTTCTGTGGGACTCCTTTCCTGTCCCCACGTGGGAGTCTATACTTGTTCAATAAATCTCCACCTTTGCTATACTACTTTCTCTCTGTGGATTCATTCTTCGACCCCAGCAGACAAAGAATCCAGCTTCCAGTCCAAAAATTCTGCTTCACCAGTGAGCCAAAGCAGCCCAGCTGAGGCTCTCCTGTTGCTTCTTCTGTGCCCTTGTTTCACTGATCTAAGTAAATTTTTGCTGTGATCAATAAATTCTTGCTTGCTTTTTTTCTACACTTTGTTTCTTGATTGAAATCTTTCCTTCAAGAAGACAAAAACCGCGATGGCTGGTGGGTTCAGTGGTTAGAGCATTGGCCTTCGCACTGAAAGATCTCAGGTTCATTCCCAGTCAAGGGCATGTACTTGGGTTGCTGGTTCGATTTTGGCCCCCGGCATGTGCAGGAGGCAATCAATCTATGTGTCTCTCTCACATTATGTTTCTCTCTCTCTCTCCCTCTCCCTCCCTCCTTCCCTTCCACTCTCTCTAAAAAAAAATCAATGGAAAAAATATCCTCAAGGTTTTGGACAACTGAGATCAAGAAATTGACCAGGATGAAGATATTGAGAGAAGGTGAACTTTGGTGGGGACAAGAAAGGTGGAAAGGGAAATACCTTTAGTAGAAGAGCTGAAGTTAGTCCCACTTACAATCAACCAATACTTAGCACCTAACTTGTGCAAAGCAAGGGACATTATGTTCCTTTGAAACAGGGGAGCAAGTATGTTTATATTTATTCTTCTGTTAATCTTAGAAAAGAGGATTTCCAACCCCTCCACCAAAGTTTCTTAGACACTTGTTTCGATCAATCCTTGCTTGCCTCCTTTACATAATATTTTAAAACTACGACTTAAGTGACAAAAAAAAAAAATATGAACATACCGTTAAATTCTAATTAACCTTCGGCCTGTCCTTTCACATGCTCCACCGCCATGCCTCCCTGTCCTCACTGTGGCATGTTCGTGTGGGTGTCATCTCCCATTGCTTTCATCCCCTGCAGGAGAGGCACCACCCGCAGCTTCTGCCTTCTCTATGCTCCCTTCCAGGGAGCCACTCTCCTGCACCCTGAGGCTCACTCCTCCCCACCCACCTGAGACGGCAAACTCCGGGGGGAAGCCTGGGCTTTACCTTTACGTTCCCAAGGGAACGCAAACGAAACGCTTCCACAAAACGGAGGCTGCCTCACTCTGCTGGGAAGACCTCACCCTTCAACAACGCCTGAAACCTTTGCTAACTGGACTACCCTTATAGTCACAAAATATTAAAACTTAATATCCAACCGAGACTATACATACTCAACAAGCTCCTCCTCTGAGAACCACCCTACCCTCACCTGCAAATTTCCTAATTAATCCTCCCGTTCCAGAAACTGTAAAAAAAAAAAAAAAAAAAAAAAAACCTGCAATTGGAGGGTTAGAAGAATGCACACTTTTGTCATGTAGATGAAATCCCCCAGGGCAGCCCCTCCCCACAGGGAGGCTCCGAGAATTTCCATCTCCCCTGGAGGGATCGAGTCTGCTAAACTGAGGCAGGACGCCGAGGAGCCGATGCTGTGCGCAAAGTTTTAAACATCTGAGTGACAACAGAGAAGCTAAAATGTGGAAGTGTGAGCCGAGCTGGGGACTGTGGGTGGGCGCTCCTGCGAGTCC